CCCATATAGGAGGTTGGTGTGAGGTTCGTATTTTGTCACGTATTTCAGGTCGAAGGTTATGGGTATCGAAACAGTAGCGAAAATACAGAACCTTTTGGTTTATACAAGGCCCTTCATTTTTCTAGCAAGGAGCTTTTAGAGCCTGTAGTCATGTTATTTCTGACTGTTTACTAATGCTAAGTTGTACTAGTACTTTAGTACGCGATCATTTATGGCATAGGACTTCTCGATTGCCTATTTCAAATTTTTTCGATTCTCTCTAAGAAACATCCCTATCTTCTAGATCTGATTCCGCAACATTTTCGATGATTCATGTGGATTTTTCTTAAACTTATTCATCACTGCAATATCGAATTTCCGCGAGAACTGTGTGAAGAAAATAGCGGTGCTGTTCTAGCAAGGTGGAACATAGCGGTGCGAAGCACATCAGTAACATCATAACGGACATTTTTTTGCAGTTTGGAAAGTGGAAGGGGGCGATGTGAAGCGATTGTGAGTCAGGGAATAAGGCTTTTGCTTCAACTTAGGGTGCAGAGCATTTCATTCATTTTTCCGTTGTGAGAAGGGGCAGGGGTCGTAGTACGTTATGGGGAAGGTTTTCTGATTGTTGTTTTTTCCTTGCACACGCCCATATACCTCCCATGTTGGGGGGAAGGGGTAGCAAAATAAAAGCTCTTCTATAGATTAACCGTGAGGGTAAGAGCGACCCTGGCGGGAAAACGGATGCGCACTCACCTGGAAAGCGTGAGGTTTGGTTTTGAGTTCAGCCTGGCTCGAGACTATATTTCTGATAGTTAGTCGGAGGTGGTCGCTACTCCCCTCCCCCCCCCCCCCCCGCCCTTCGCCCCCGGTCCTCTCATTGGCAAGTTTTGGGGAGAATTTTGTGAGATAAAGAAGGGTGTTAGCTATAGAGGGAAAGAGGGTTGTGTTTAGTAGGAGCTTTACAAGCTTTACAGCTCTGTAAGAATGAACCATTTCAGTCCGTCTTCCTGGAACAGCGCCGAAATTACTTTTTTGGTTCAGTCTGTCGATATCTACGATTTTTCCAGACCACGCTTGCATGGATGGAACGGATACTATCCCGCAAACAGGAGTTGGATGATCAGATTGATGATATGGTTGAAGTGGACAAGATCTCCTTCACTAGGTGAGCCCACC